AGATTGGTATGAAAAGGCCTAAGTGTACAAATTGAACTAGCAAAGGGAGGTGGACTACAAGGAATCATTTAAAAACCAAGCCTTATCAAGTAGGAATCACTAAGCCTTTTCACACTTTTCTTTCAAAACAATTTTTGTACTAAAGTTAGGTGTGTGTGTGCACGGCCCCCTAGTAGGCAAATTGAATCCTTCTAAAATGAAAACAATTGAAGTAAAAGACCTAAACAATTATACTACTAAAAGCTTTAAATCATGCAAAAGGAAGACACTTAAAACATATACTAGTTGAAGTCCTAGATGAAGGTTTTCAAATCAACTTCAACTACACGAAACTAAACCAAAATGAAGAGGTTTTAAAATGTCCAATTACAAACCAAGATAAAGAAAGAAGGCCCAAATACAAGTGGCCCAAAAGAAATCAAGCAAAAAAATGAAAAGACAAAATTTTTAGGTCTTCAACTCCTCCAATTGGGTTCCTTCACAATGAGAAAACTTTGTTAGTCCTCTCCAAGTGTTTAAAAACTCCTCTTGTGTAGTGTAAATCCCTCCAAAGACTAGGTTTGGATTAGGTTCACTCCTCCACTCAAATCCACCAAACTAAACCAAAATGAAGAGGTTTTAAAATGTCCAATTACAAACCAAGATAAAGAAAGAAGGCCCAAATACAAGTGGCCCAAAAGAAATCAAGCAAAAAAATGAAAAGACAAAATTTTTAGGTCTTCAACTCCTCCAATTGGGTTCCTTCACAATGAGAAAACTTTGTTAGTCCTCTCCAAGTGTTTAAAAACTCCTCTTGTGTAGTGTAAATCCCTCCAAAGACTAGGTTTGGATTAGGTTCACTCCTCCACTCAAATCCACCAAAAGTTTGCTAGTTTGCTAGATAGGTTCTTCACCTACATTCAAAATGAAACCAACCCAAAGAGCAAGAGTCCAAGAAATAAAAACTGAAAATGCACAATTAGGAAAGGCTAAACTCAGAGAGAATTGATTGAGACAAAACAAAAGAGGCCAAAGAAAAGACAAACTAAAATTAAGACACAATTAAAAAGGAAGCACACAAAAGAGTATTCCTAGGATGGCATTAGAATGGATTAGTGTTTAGTCCACTTGCTTAAGTCTTTTATATGATTCGGTCCAGCCACTCTTAAGGTCTCAAAATAGGTTCAATAAGGTCAATAAGGTCTTAAGTCCAACTCCCAAATGCATAGGTAAAGGTCCAAGCCCACAAGTCTAGCAACAAGTCCTTTTTGGTCAATTTTTTTTTGTTCTTTCTTTTCTTCCTTTTCTTTTCACGTCAATTTTTTTTTTATATTCCTTGGGTCCAATTTCTTTTCTTTAATGTTCAGCCCATTTGTTGCTTAGGTTTTGCACTTGTGGGTGGTGAAATTAGGTCAAATGTAGGAGAAAGAGAAAGGAGACAAGTGGCGTGTTCTTAGAGGGTTTTAGGGAATCTTTTTAGTGGAATTGGTTTTGTACTATTTAGGACAAGTTGTTTTGTACTAAATTTCCAGCACACCTCTTAGATTCTTTTAGGGTTATCAATCATCAAATATAGACCATAACAAGTGGAAATGCAAGGAAAAAGTGGGCAGCAATCTAAATGCATGTGCATGGAAACATTTTACACATGGAAACTCAAAAAAATACAAGGAACATGCTAGGACTAAATAGCATGCATGAATGACTCCTAGATGGCATCTATATGTCACGCCCACTTTATATCATGCAACATGGTATTTTTGGTTCATGTATTCATGCAATGTGTTTGGCATGCATACATGGAATTTTTGTAGACAATATAGGAAACAAGACTTGACAAAACTTAAAAGATTCAAAAATCAAAAAGCATGTTCATATGAGACTCGAACCTAAAAATGAAAAAGCATGAAAAACACCTAACAATGGAAACCTAAAATATTCAAGGAAGGCTCACAAGGAACAAAGTATGAGCCCAAAACTATTCGGCCACACAAGAAATGACAAGAAGGAGAGAAATGACCGAATAGGCCCAAATACAAGTGGCCCAAAAGAAATCAAGCAAAAAAATGAAAAGACAAAATTTTTAGGTCTTCAACTCCTCCAATTGGGTTCCTTCACAATGAGAAAACTTTGTTAGTCCTCTCCAAGTGTTTAAAAAAATCCTAATCCTAGAGCACCCCATGAACCATGTGATGGGTCTTACATGAAGTACCAAGGATGGTCCTCCATCAAAACCCTTGTTTGGAATGGCGGTTCCAACCTAGACAATTATGTGTTAATCTCATCGCTAGAACGGGCCGTTCCAGTTAAAAAATTAACACAGAACGGTCGAATCCAGAACGGGTCGTTTCGATTATGGAACGGGTCATTCTGGCCCCCATTCTGATGTCTATAAATAGATAGCTCGGGCACAATTCTCAGGGCCACAAAGATTCGTCCAAGACTCCTTAGAGCTCGAAATTTCTCTCTCTCTCCCTCCTATTATATTTCTTGAGTTTTGTGAGGCATATTGTAGTGTGAAAGGTAGCCAAAAAGTACCAAGTCCCCATATTTGAAGATTCAATAGAGCTCGTTCAAGAGGTATTTCAATCAATCTTCTTCTCTCTATTATATTTTGTTATCTTTGATAAATATTATTATAATAAAAGCAATCATGTAGATATTTTAGAGTTAATTGTATAATTTAAATTTCAAGCATGTAAATAAATATATTAATAAAGGGAATTAAATATTTAAATTATTAATTTTTATCACGTTAACTTTATCATAGGGTACCGATTGAGGGTGCTGTAGGGGTACTTAATACCTTCCCTACATGTAATCGACCGTAACCGACCCCCGAACCCAATTCTGGTTATCAAGGCCATTATTGGACTTTTAAAAACCTTTTCTTTTTCCAATGTTTTAAGTAAAACATTGGTAGCGACTCCATGAACCTATTTTCAAAACCATTAATTAAGGATTAGTCTAGTGTCCGAGCATTCCTTAATTGATGAGATTTTCAAAAGGATGTCTAAATCATAGGTTGCAAGATCGGAAATTTTTGGGTTGCGACAGATGGCGACTCCACTGGGGAAGTTTTAAGAGGGTTAGGCCCATATAAATGATGAAGTTAATAAAATAAGAATAATAATTTAAATATTTTTCCCCTTTACTTTGTTTTTTTTATTTGTGTGGCTTTAATATCTATTTGCTTGTTTAATTTCTGTACTTGTTTGAATAAAAATTATACACAAACATTTGCACACAACAGTTCCCCCTACGCCCGAGGACATGAGGGTATTAAACATAGGGAGTGGTTGACGTACGACTGGCCTAAGTTTGGCCTTGGAGCCTGCGAGCCTTGTCGAAAATCACACTCAAGGTGATAACCGGTTACTCTAGCCTGAAATACTGCGACAGACCCTAGAGTTTGCCAAGTGACGGCGATAGAGCTACTAGGTCCCTATGATGGGGGCACCTTGGGGGCCTTAAAGACCAGTGAGATTAGAACCGTCCTATACAGCGCACTTTTCTTGACAAGGACCATAGACCAAGGATTTGAACACGATCGTTCGTGGGTGTATGTTGATTAAGCATGTGTTTGCATTTGTTTGTATTATTTTGTTCTAATAAGATGGATTGGAATTTCAAAATAAGCAAACAAATAATAAAGAAATAAAAAATGAATGCTCTAATATATAACAATATCTACACTGTAAAGAAAAGCCCAAATCAATTTTTAAAAAATACTATGGTTGGGCCCTTGCTTTGATATGTTTGTTAAAGTAAGTCTTATTAGAACCTAATATAGATTCTCGTTTAATACTGTCAAAATCTATTTGAGCATTCACAGACAAACAAATCAATGAGACTAATATTTTTCTCAACTTTCTCTACATTATGCATTACATTCATTTAGAACAAATCCCTCCTTATAAAAGAATAAATGAGAATAAAAAAGGGAAATTAACTTATGTGCATTAGTCGAAAGTAATGGGATATAAGCCATATGAATAAAGAGTTTTTAGGATGCCAACTCCTACCTAAAGAAGATAAAGTCGTGTTGTGCAACTGTGAAATCCAGGTAGAATAGGAGAAACGACTAAGAATGGATGGATCCACACTCCTAACGAGTTGCAAGCTAATAAAGAGAACTTGAGGAGGACAAATCCCTCAAACACTAAGGCAAAGTGGATAGAGCTTTCGTGAAAGATGATTTCAACAAGAGAGAAGAATTGCTTGTTAAGAAGCTGCTAGAATGAAAACCCACAAAGGGCATTCTGGGCAAAAAAAAAAAAGCAATGATTGTTAAAGCTGAAAATCGAGAGATAGCTTGAATGTTCCTCT